GTGGATGTGTGCACAAATGCATGCACACATGTGTATAAGGATGCTGTTCGTGTGTGTGTGTGTGTGTGTGAAAGGATACTGTGCATGTGTATATGCATGTGTGTATAAGAATGCTAGGTGTGAGTATGCATGTGTGTGCTTATGTGCATAAGGCTGCTGTATGTGAGTACACATGTGTGTTAGGATTCAGTGCATGCATGCATGCATAAGTGTGTATGGTTGCAGAAGTGTATGCACTCATTTGTGTAAGGATGCTTGCTGTGCTTGTGTATGAGTATGTATGTGTGTGTAAAGGATGCTGTGTATGGGTGTGTATGCATGTGTGTGTAAAGATGCTGTGTGTGAGTGAGTATGCATGTGTGTAAGGATTCTGGGTATGTGGACATGAGTGTCCATGTGCATGTGTGTATTAGTACAGAAGTGCATGCACACACGTGTGTGTAAGGATGCTATTCTTGTGTATGTGAGTGTGTATGTGAAAGAGTGCTATGCATGTGTGTGTGTGTGTGTGCATGTATGTATAAGGATGCTGTGTGCGTGTGTGTGTGCAGGAGCATGTGTGCATATGTCTGGGGAAGGAGAGGGCTAGCCTGGTGGATGGCACAGGACAGGTAAAGGCTCTCACTGAACTTAGCTGTGCCTGATTCACACTGGAATTACAACCAACTATCTGGGCTTCCAGCACCTTCTGTGGCAGCCAGACTTTATCTTGTCATCTATACTGTCCACGGTCTCAAAGTAGGCAGCACAAGCAAATCAGGGCAGATGCTTGACATGACTGTGGATCGTGACCATCTCCAAACCTGTGATGAATGCTGTCCATTTTGTGAAAAATCTGTTCAGTGATCTGCTTCTGACTTGGGAAGGAAGGAGTTTGATGTCTGTCTAGAACAGGGCAGGACCCCTAGGGATTCTCTCAGCAGGCCCCACCTCTGTCTGTAGACCCCAATCCTAAACCTTCACTCCTAAGACAGCAACCTCAGTTTCAGATGGACTCAGAGAGTCTGGAAATTGTGTGCTTCTTCCCTATTCCTCAAAACTGTAGCTAGAGAGAAAAACCCACAAGACCACCCTTCTTCCCCCATGGTAAACCAGCCTTTAAATTGTCCACCACAGCTTGGCAGATGTCATCTGGTATCTTTCTTTTTAATGATCCTAAAGGTAACCAACCTGGATCACAGATGTTAGACAGTAAAAAACAGTGTGATGAAAATCCCATCTCTGGTACATTCTGCAAAGAGGCTGACTGTGAGACAGTTTTAGCTTGAACTTCCCACTGTGGGAGGTGATAAGTTTATACCAGTCATATATTATGCAAGCTCCAATACCTCATCCCCAAGCAGAAAAATATCTAATAAATCCCCTGTACCCATGCATACTCCACTCAGCACCGTCTACTTCCCCCACTTGCCTAGGCACCCACTGCACAGCCAATCAGATCAGTGGGCTACAAGAAAGGTTTGAAACCAACCAGTAAAACTCCATTCAGGAGAGCTGCAAGTGACAGCAACATGAGAGCAACATGAAAAGGCAGTCGTCATGCCCAGGACTCCCAGAGAGCTAAGGCTGGAGTTGACATAATGGTTCAAAGTCATTCATGAAAGCATAGTTAACGGATTCAGAATAAAGTGCTAATTATACATATTTTGAAACTCCATTCCAAAGAGTGAGTTAACAACTGCTTCTGAGAAGCAATGTTCATTAAGCAGCTCCAGGGGCTCCTGCCACAACCAGAGTCTTGGGTGCAAAGTTGATGTGTACACACCCAAGAAATCAGTCAAAGTTAGGCAAAAAGGGATAGCTGAGAAGGTGAGGCTCACTTGCTGATATTATTGTCCAATAAAAGACAGTTCCTATGATGACATGGCTTGGGCTGCTTTTTATCCTAGGCCTAAAAGCACTTTCACTTGTACTTATATTTTAAAAAGAAAAGAAACAAAATTAATTGCAAAGGTGTTTTATTTCCTATAGATCTGAGTACTTCTGCTGAACAGTTCTCTAACCAGACACCATGAGACTCAGTCAGCCAAAAACAGGAGTACAGATGTGGCATCTACTAAGTGCTTCAATGTACAGGGTTGTCAAGTGATTCTACATGCCCACAGCTGAGGCTAAAAGGCAGCCTGTCAAGTGGTAATTATATAATAGCCCTTCTACAGGTGGGGAAACTGAGGCTGGAAATCAGAAAATGGCATCACTGTAGTCTTCCTGCATGGAAAGCTCTAGATTCCAATCTTCCCACTCAAGCTCAGCTGCCTTAGGACGTGTGTGTATGTGTGTGTGTGTGTGTGTGTGTGCATATGTGTGTTTGTGTGTGCATGTGTGTATGTGTGCTTGCATGTGTGCATTAAAGTATATGTGTGTGTCTCTGTGTGTGCCTATGCATGTATATGTGTATGCATGAGTGTATCTATGAGTATGTATGTATGACTGTGTGTGCCGGCATGTGTGTAAATGTGAATGCAAGTGGCTATGTATATGTACATATGTGTATATGCGTGTATATGCATGTGTATGACTATGCACGTGTATGCGCATGCATATGTGTATATATGAATGTATATGTATGCTTATGTGTCTGCCTACATGTGTGTAAATGTGTATGCAAGTAAGTATGTGTATGTATATATGTATATATGTATGTATGTTTGTATACCTATGCATGTGTATCTGCATGCATATGACTGTATATATGCATGTATATATATGTCTGTGTGTCTGCCAACATGTGCGTTTGCATATATGTAAACGTGCATGCAAGTGGGTATGTTTATGTATGTATGTGTGTATGTATATGTGCATGTGTATATATGCATATGTATGCATATGAGTGTGTATATATGTGAATACATACATATGTGCATGTATGTGAGAGTATGTCTGTCTGTGCATGTGTGTAAATGTATGTATGAACACATATGAACATGCATGAGCATGTGGATGTACATATGTGCATGTGCGTGCACATGTGAGCATGTACATGTGTGTGTTCAACCTTTCCAAAAAATCAGTAGAAAATCCAATAAAAGACATTTTAAAAAATCATCATTTTTCTCTTTCTCATGTGGCCCTGATCCTGTACTCATGACAGCACCCTTCTCCAGGGGCTAAGACAACAGTTGTATTTGCTCCTCTTCTATCGACACCATTTTCTCTGGAGTTTCAAACATTAGAAATTTATGTCCAGAACTGCCAATCATATCAATGAAGGAAGCATACCTTAGTGAATGCTACCTCAAGCTCAGCTACATTTTTTTTAAGAAATACTGCAACATGACTATGCTTGTTTTTAACCCCCGCCCCCTCACAGTCTCACCCACCTCTTGGGACCAGTAAACAGTTTTCTGTGGTGATTTCACTACAGGGAACTAACCAGAAAACCACAGTCCCTATTCCAGACCTAGATCACAAAAGGCGCCTTTTAGGGGACCTTGAGATTTCTCCCCTCTCTCTGTGTCACAGGCAATATTCTTGCCTTCCAGAAAATATACCTGTCCCCAGAACACATCTGTATGTATGTCACCACCACAGCTCAAAAACAGAAATGACGCAGTGACCACTGGTCTCTCCTCCAACCTGGAAATGGCACAGGGTGGGAGGTGGGAACTTTGGGGCCAGCAGGGACAACATCTCCTTTATGTTATATGAATAACATAAAGGTGACGTCTTTTCCCCCAGATATGAAAACTTATTACACTGATTTAGTGCATATTTAAATAAAGCAACTCTCAAAAAGTCTTTTGAAACAAGACGGAAAGATAGGCTGTCCCTGGCTGGTGATTCTTGTTGCATATGGCAGGCACCCTCAAATCCTGTGTACTCCCCTGCCCCAACAGCACAAAGCTTTTCAGAGCCCCCCCCCAAAAAAGTTAATTTTTAATTTAAAATGCTTGGAAAAATAGAGGGGGGAGTCCAGGAAAGGAAATAAGTGAAGAGGGTTTTTTTTAAAAAAAAAAAATCAGGACACGGGGGCAAAAAAGACCACCTTCGAGTCCACATTCTGATTGTCACAGGTCCAAAAAGATGGACCAAGGCATTGTGCCATGACAGGGCAAGTGGCCAGCCAGAGACACCATTCTGCCTCCTACCAGAAAGGCATCTACCGCATCCCCGGGGAAACAGTCTGACATTCCCATTCCCACAGGTTTCCGTGTGCAAAGCTAGGGGTGTCTCCCAACCACCAGCTTCAGTGAGAATGCAGTCATAGGGATCCATCAGAGATTCATCTGTGTGTGTGGGGGGGGGGGGGGAATCTACATACAGGCATCTTGTACAAGATGGACTCTTTCCCAGAATGGGTTAAACTCCCCCAGTTTTCAAACAACATCCAGACTCCTCTGATCCAGTAGCAGCCCACAAGGGCAAACAAGCACTGCCCCATTCAACCCACCAGGACCGCATTGCAGGTCACCTGCTGCCACCCCCATCCCAACCATAGAAGAGAAAACTCTTCTCCCAGGACCTAACACTCTCCACAACCCCAAAGAAGGATATTGGGTGCGGAAATCTTGGTTCTCAAAAGATCCCCAGGTGCGGAAGGATCAGTACCACCCCTTCCTGTAGCCCCATAAGCAACCTCCTGTCACCTTGATGTCCTGCCAGCTTTGTCCCAAATTCCCCAAAAGATAGTAAGTTTAAGGCTTGGAACCCACTCAGGGAAGCGCAGCCAGCACAGGGGCGTTAGGTGGGTGGGTGTTCGGCTGTGGGATTATTCTTAGTGCTCCAGCTCCACTCTTCGCAAAAGTGGCACCTCCACCCTCAAGACAACAGCACTGACTCGGAGTTCACAAGCCTGGCCCAAACACCAGAGCAGTCTGGGGCACCAGATAGGATGCCCTAGAAGAGTGAGGTCATGCTCCTGGGGGATGAGACACTGAAATGGGGTCTGTCTTGAACCTGGGGAGCCCCACCCCCACCCGAGCCTTGCTCCGTGTGCGATACCTCTCCTGGACCCCTCCCGTGTCTCCCACGAGCCTGGTGGCGACACACCCACCCCTTACCGATAGTTGTGATGACAGTGATGGCGAAGTAGAAGGACCCGGCGAATTTCCACTGGACACCAGCGCGGTGGGGCTCAGACTGCAGGATTACCAGCTCGAGCTGCTGGTAGTCATCGGAGCTGATGTTGTACTTGCCTCTCAGACGGACTTCTTCGGCTTTAAGTTTCTCCTCCTCGCGCATCTCATGGTCTGACTCGAGGGCGTCGAACACCGCGGCACCCACCAGCAGGTAGGTGAAGGTACAGGCAATCAAGGACAGGGTACGCACGTTCTGCCGCTTCATAGCCGCGAAGAAGGAGATGCTAAAGGGGAGCTGAACCAGACCTCGAGAATCCCAATGCAGCGCCGCACTAACCAAGCCTCCCCTACGATGGAGTCGAAGTTGCAAGCGGTGGTAGCAGCAGATGCCACAGCTGATGTTGGAAATTTCGACCTCATCTTGGGGGTCCTCACTCTCACGAACTTCACCACTTGAAGGCTGAGGAGCCTCCCCGGATGCTGCAGGCTGCTGGGACACAACGACCTCAATGGGGTCCCCGGACTCTGCGGATTCTGCGGGACCAGCGGACGCCCCGGGCTCGGCAGGCTCGGCTGACTCTGCGGGCGCAGCGGGTTCCACGGGCGCAGCGGGTTCCGCGGGCGCAGCGGGTTCCGCGGGCGCAGCGGGTTCTGCGGGCGCAGCGGGCTCCGCGGGCGCAGCGGGTTCCACGGGCGCAGCGGGTTCTGCGGGAGGAGCGGATTCCGCGGGCGCAGCGGGTTCCGCAGGCACAGCGGGTTCTTCGGGAGCACCCAGTGCAACGGATTCCGCGTACACAGGGGGGTCCGCGGGCGTGGTGATCACCACCGGGGTGCGCGAGATGGTGGACATGTTGATGACATTGCTATGGCGCGGAGGCCAGCGATCCTGGACCCGGGACACCCTATGCCAGGCCTGGGTCAAGCGGTTTGCCCCACTGCGGATGGTCGAGCGGATGGATGGCCCAAGCTCGTTCCGCGCTGGCTGCCTGGTCCTCTGCACCTGGCCCCTCGAGCCTGCGGGCTCGGCTGGGGCAGGATCGGCAGCCGGGACAGAGGGAGACCCTGGGAGGGGTTCCCCATCCCTGATGCGTTCCCCGGTTAGCGGGGCCCAGCTAATCGCCTCCAGTGTGGCGGTTGCCCCGCGGGGACCTGCTTCTCCCTCTAGCTTTCTTCACCCCCTTGGGTTGGGGGAAATAGAAAGTTTGCTAAGTGAAGGAGTCTCTAGAATCCCTCCAAGCAGGGAGAAAGTCTATCTAGCAGGGGCAACGGGCGAGGAAACCCGATGCCCCAAGATCCGAACGCCCCGTGCCCACCTGGGCGCGCGGGGCACGCGGGGTGCCCACCGCGCGAGAGCCGATCTGCGAAGTTTGTTCCGCTCAGCCTCTGAAGCTCAGGAACACGACGAAGCCGAAGACAGGAGCCGCGACGGAGCTACCTCGGGGACGAAGAGGGAACTGAGCGGCGGTAGCCGGCCAGCCAGCTCCTCGCCGGGTGGCGGGCGAGGTGGCGGCGGCGGCGGGAGGGGTCCCGCAGCCCTGGAGGAACTGAAGGGTAGGGATGGGGACAGGCAAAGGCGCATCAGCTGCCAGAGGATTCTGAGACTCTGGCGTCCAGGAGTCCGGAGAGGCAGCCGCCGCTCTGGTCTGCCTGAGGCGCTGTGCGTGCGCGCCGGAGGGAGCCCGAGTGTATGTATTCGCGGGTGTGCGTGCGCGCGTGTTTGCGTTTGACGGCCCCGCTCCGGCGGGAGGGACGAGGGGGGGCAGGCTACTCCGAGGACCGGCTTCCCTCCCTCCTCTCTTTTCTCCCTCCCTCCCTCCCTCCTGCAGCCTCTGGGTCGCGCCACCTCCCGCCTGGTCCCCAGCCAGCTGGTGAGGCGGCAGTGGCAGAGCTCTTGCAGCAGACCCAGTGCTGCGCAGGGTGCACACGAAGGAGCCCAGGAGTGATGGCCAGAGAGAGAGAGGGAGAGGGGTAGAACTAGGTACCTGCTAGGGTGCGGGGATGGGAACCCAGCCGCTAGGAGGTTTGGGGTGGTGATGGGGTGGCTTCTTTCTGAAAAAGTACCGCTCCCCTAAGAGGGCACACAACCTTGGCAAAGTGGAGAGTTTGAGGGTCCTGCAGCTGGGGGTGAGAAACGAATTCGGCCAGTGGAGGCCGATTAACCTCTTATCAGAAAAACCAAAAACCAAAACGAGAGAGTTGGGAATAGAACGGGAAGGGCTATGAGCACTCGAGAGTGCGATAGCAGTGGTCACACGCTCCCCCTCTTAACACACACACACACACATACACACACACACACACACACACACAAACTCCAGCTGCGGCAGCCACCTGGCTCAGCAGCACCCTACTGGCTGGGACACTGCCTTTTAGAGTGTTGGGGTTTTGTCAGTCTCCTTAGTTCGGATAGTGGCTTGTGTCCCGAATGGTCTTGCACCTGCTAACCCCAGCTACTTTTCCCTAGAGCTCTGGCGAATAGCTTAGACCACTACTCTTAAGAGTTACACTTCAAGAAAGGAAGGACGGAAATTCTCATTTTCCATCTCCAGCAGTACACAGCCCCCCCCCCCCCCCGCTCCGCGTCCCTCCCCCCGGGCACGCGCATCTTCACTGTTCATTTCTTGCTTCCTCTGCCAAGGAGCAGAGCGCAGGGACACTCCTTGCCGCCCCCCCGGGGCCCCTCCCCGCCCCCAGCGAATCACCGCGAGGCACCCTCCAGGTTCAGGCTTGGAGATGGAACAGGAGGATCTATCTGGCCCAGGAGCCAGAGTCTTTGAGTAGAAGGAAGAAGCCAGGATTCCTGTTTAGACCCTCTGGGTTCCCCACCCAACCATCTCTCTTTAGGTTGCCCAGAGGTTTTCTCCCTCACAAAGCTCCCCTAGAGCAGTGCTGCTGCGGACTCATAGAACCAAGCTTTTGAGACCCCGGGGTTTGGTTTGTTGGGCCAGGCTATCTTCTCTGTCCTAGTCAAGGATGCAAATGAAGAGATCTGGTGACCACCAAGCAACAGCTAAGAGGTCGGAGCTAGAAGCTGTCCGTGGAGATAGGAGCAGCCCCAGCTGTTGAAGAGTTGGAGATTTAGAAACCCTGTGTTCTTCAGCATCCTAGTCCATGCCCCCACCCTCTGTCTACCCAGACTCATAGCCCGGAGGATTAGGGGCTTCATGTAGGTTCCCAGGTAAAAAGCTTTTCACCCAAATTCAAAGGATCGTGGATGCACCACAGGGCAGAGGCGTCGGCGCCTGAACAGTCGGGTCTCCGTGTGGTCTTCCGGGTACCCGGAAGGGAAGCTCCACCGGAGCAGGTGCACTCCCCAAAATTCACTTTGGAAGCCAAGGCCCCCGTACTTTGCAAGGCAGCCTGGCTGCGGGGTGAGTCACCACAAGCGAACGACCAAGATTCCCAGCAGCTGATAATTAATTGAGTCGTGGCTCAGCCCACGACGGAACCCCAGTCAGGCCTCCCGCTGCTCTGGCAGCGGTGGCACCCTGAGTCACTGCCTGACCGTCGGGCCAGCAAAAAGGTCCAATAGGGCTTGTGTCTCGGCGCCACCAGGGGGCGCTGGACTCCGACCCACAGATCTGCCCACGTTTGAGCCAACGAGACTGCAGCGAAGTCCAAGCTGTCCCCAAAGGCGAGTGCAGGAGCTGGGCGGGGGGAGGGGGGGTGGGGGGGCGAGGGGGGGGAATGGGCTGAGCTCCGATGACTGGATTCCAGGCTTTGCGCAGAGAAGCTTCAGTTCTCTACAGCATTTTAGAAAGATGGGAAGGAACTTCAACTTGTTTTATAGGTGAAGAAAAGGTCTCCTGTCCAAGATCACAGAATTACTCCCGTCTAGAACCCATTTTCCCCAGTCTTTCCAGAGTTTCTTCCAGGATCCCAGTTATTTTGTAGTCCCAAGTTTCCTGTCCACATGCCACAACCCAGTTTTTGAATGTCTTTTGACTGAGAGTGGAACTGAAACTCCTTGGGGAGGAGCCTGGATCCTGACTATTCTGCCTGCATCCCTAATATCCATTCTCTCAGGAAAGATGCTCAGCTCCAACTCCGGGATGATGGTCAGTGAGTGCTAGGAGGGTGGAAAAAAACACACACACACACATACACACACACCAGGGGTAGTTCTGGGAGTCTCACCTCCCAGGGTTGGGTGCTAAATCCATGAATTTTTAATGCTCAAAAGAAAAAATAATGGTACAATGTCCTCGTCTGTAGAATAATTGCCAATTAAGCTCAGAAATTCTTCCTGCCATTGTCTGTTGTCTGGCATAAGCTCCCCCCGTCCACCTTTGAGTCAATGACAGCTCTCCTCCCCCAGTAGGGCTGCAGGTTCATAGGTGTAACCCTAGGGCATCTTGGCTAGACTTGGACATGAGTAAGAGGTTCAGAGAGGAGCTGAGACATGGAGAGAAAGGCTTTGAGGACGTCAATAAAGGGCATAGCTGTGGCCAGTGAGTGGGCTCATAGCCTCTCTGTGCCCCTTCGGGAATCAGTCCCTAGACCTCCTTCCACTTCGGCTCTCTCTTTAATAAAAGCAGATGCATCTTATTAGCTAATAAAACACATCCTGGTTTTATAACTCTGCCGCCTACTTGTTTGTTCTGTTCTGTACACACATGTCTGCAGCCCTTCCTCCAGCCCTTTCATCAGAGAGGGCATATCCTAGCCCCACAATGGATGAGGACAGAACTCCCAAGCCAGTACTTCTTCACACCCCCACTGTGTGTCTGACCACAGGGGCTGTTGCTGGAGGGAGGGAAGGAGGAAGGGAGAGAGGAAGCAAGAGAGGGAAGTGCAGCACTCTGTGCCAACTATCCCAGGCTGATGCCACTGCTAGCCCAGGGCAATTTCTTTTGGCTGAGAAGAAGCCAGCACTGTCAGCGGCTCCCTGGACATCATGATGTGCCAAATGCATTGTCACAATCATATCTCCATCTTTGAGTGCTGGCAGAAGGAATAGAACTATCTGGGGTGGGGAGAGGTGAGTTCTCTCATAGCCCCAGCTGGAAGCAGGAGCATAGTGGAGTCTTCCCACCAGGGAGCCCTGTGATGGTCAATACTAATTGTCAACTTGATAGACTCTAGAATGGGCTAGCCTTTGGGCACAGCTGGGAGGGATCATCTACAGTAAGTTAATTGGTGTAGGAAGACCCGCCTTAACTGTGAGCAGCAGCTTTCTTTGGGCTGGAGTCCTGGACTGACTGAAAGGGAGAAAACGAGCTAAGCACTAGCATTTCTTTCTCTCTGCTCCCTGACTGTGGATGT